TGGTTATATACATTTTTCATATCTGCACACACGATCACGCTTATTCGGACAACAACAAAATCAGTGCCAGGCTGTTCAACAACTAAACTTTTCTCAAAACAGAGGGCAGCAGCCCTGCATAACAATTCATTAAATTGAATTTCCTCATCTTAAATTATGCCATAATTAACACCAAAACCCCTTGAACTAATAAATACTTTAAGAAACATTCAATTTTTATCACTGTGTACTTACTTCTGAGAGTCAGCACTAATCAGACTCAGAGCTTTTCCAAACCAGTTTAGCCTTCAGATGGAATGGTGCCCTTGGGAGACACAACCAGAAACCAGTAGAAGGACCAAGCTCTAAACCACACAAAGACTTTTTTGAGTGGGTTCAAGTACCTGAGAGCAGAGTTATTACAAAAACTAAATTTAAGCAACTCAATGTCAGAAGCTAAAGATGAGTTTGGACATGTTTGCAAACACAGGCTCCACCCTGTAGCCCACTGCACAGGAATCAACATGAATTTGACTCCTGCAACGCAGCAGGAAGGTTCTTGCTGAGTTCAGTACCGTGTATCTCTGGGGGACAAATGGCTCGTGTACAGAGTAGGGATATGGGGGTTGTTAAAGGATGAAGAGAGGGACTGTTGCTCTTCAGCAACAGAGTTTGGACTGTTGCTCTTCAGCAACAGAGGCATAAACACTAGGGAGTGAAGTGAGCTAAATAGCGCAAAGACTAGAGTGCCACTGGAATAAATGGGCATAAGTTGGCTGTGAATAAGCATCAGCCAGATGGATGACTCCTAACCTCAAGAATAAGGCTTTGGAAAGACTCAGCAACAGTCGAGGACTAGGTTTGACTTGGAGGAGAGAGTTCGGTGAGCAGGGTGGGAGTAAGATTATAGTGACATGTACTTCCAGTTCAACAGTCCTTTGAAGCAGACAAAGGAAGGACAAGAGCTGACAGGATAAATGGCATTATCAGCCCTTCTAACAAAGTTCCTCAGAACAACTGACATTCTTTCCGTTCCAGAGCAAAGGCCTGGCATCACTGGTGCTGGACCCTCAAATACATGAACGGCAGTTCCTCAGAGGAATACAGTGCACTCCTTGCACATGACTGACCAAACCCCAGCCCCAGCGAACAGTCCTGCTGCTTACAATGAGAACACTCAAGTCAACGGTTTATTTAGAAACTCCTGCTGTGGGAAGTTTGCAGAAGGTCTGAATAAAGAACAAAATGAAACCATGAATTAACATTTTTGTTCTGCTGAACAGATCAGTGGCTATGCCATGAAGCAGAACAGTCCTGCTGCTTACAATGAGAACACTCAAGTCAACGGTTTATTTAGAAACTCCTGCTGTGGGAAGTTTGCAGAAGGTCTGAATAAAGAACAAAATGAAACCATGAATTAACATTTTTGTTCTGCTGAACAGATCCCGAAAAGCGTCTGAGCTAGGCCAAACACTGCGCTGGTTCACGGTGTCGTGCTGCTGAAAGCTTTCGTTCTTCTCTGCCTGCTCACCTGGGGCAGTGTTGAAATCCTCAAGCTGCTCTTTGTCTTCCAGAACACCCACCTTGTTGTTCCTGCACATGATCCTGTTGATTTCCATAAAGGTTTTGTTCTTTGTCTCAGGAACAACAAAGAAGACGTAAAGTATAGTGGCGAGGCAGATGGCACAGAAGATGAGGAAGCTGTAGGGCCCCAGTCCAGCCTAAGGCAACGAATGAAAACAGCAAGGATCAGAGGAATACTCCAGTTGTGTACATTAGATGATTTGGACATGCTAAACCCTGCAATAGCTACAAAAAAGCAGCCCCAGTGATGTGCGCAAGTTAGGAGTCGTTCTAGATTCTGTCTTCTCCTACCACCACCATGGATTTAGTGGAAACCACCACAGATTCATTGGAAAAAGAGGATGAGGGTCTGTTACATAAATGAAACTAAGCTCAGCTTCCTTTTGCCAGGCTAAAATCCACAACTGTAGCAGTTTATGGCTCACTACTGCTAGGGATCAGTTGAACCGGTGATCTAGAGAACAAAAGCTAAAATTGGCTGAAATTTAAGATGGGAAATTTGCAGTCATATCCATGCTCCCGAATTCAGGACCAGACATTTACCCGGAAGGCAACTGCTTTCTTTTAAAGCAAATGCAACAAACAGATGTGATAAAAAAAAAACACTGAGTAACATCAGTTTCTTGCCCCTAATATATAATCCTGCATACAGGTGCTGGTAATGAACTTGGGCATTTACAGCTCTCAGGATTAGAAAGGCTCCTTAAGAACACAGTGGTGAAGATACTAGTTTTAAGCTGAAGTCTTGCCCTGTTGTGTGATCGCATCTTACCTCCATGTAGAGGAACACAAGCCCCACGGTGAAGTTGCATAGCCAGTGCACAGACCCACCGACCATGAACGCAGCGGGCCGGGATGACTGCATGAACATCTCGGTGATCATCACAAAGGGAATTGGACCTGGAAGGTAGTTGTATATTTTGAAAACCCAAAAGCAATTCACCCCCTCTGAATTCCTAGATTACAGGGTGCATTTCAGTGGCAGGCGATGGTTTCTAAGTTACTAGTGTTCAGAAACACCCAATCAATCCAATATGGGATTAAATTTAAAAAAAAAAAACACAACAAGGCAGCTAAATGACTTTTCTAAGTTCACACACAACAATCAACTTCTCTCCATGGCCGCACCTTAGGCATGAACCCACCTCCTGCACAAATTGTAAAATAAGGTTGATAAACACAAACTGTCTCTGCAGAGAGCACCCTAGGAGCAGAAACTAAGCAAGTGATTGCTTCTTAAAAAAGGCAAGATAAACACCTCAACACATGCAGGTGCTGGAAAAACAACTTATGGTACAAGCCCTCCGGCCCATGCTCTGCACTGTGGCACCCATCAGAAGCAGACCACGTTCTACTCAACAGGGTCACACCATGGGTCTGGCTGGT